GATAGCACATCGGCACACCTTCTTCCCCTCTGCCCCCCTCTCTCTATCCCTGTCCTGTCCTGTCCTACGTCCTTGCGCGTCCATCCTCCAGCAGTTGATATAGACGCTACTTGCGGTGACGTCACCACAGGGATTCTCCTTTATATCGAACTGGAGCTAAACTGTAACAGTGACGTAAACTCTTTCAATGCTACCAATGGGAATAAATCCGTACACATAGCTTTTCTGTGACGTGGCACTAATAGCGTCTTTAGCCGATGATATGACACAGTCGTAACTTTTGATGAGCAGTTTTCATAAATTGAAAGAAGGTAATTTGATTTAAATCCGCTGAACACAGCCTTCGAGTCTGGCGCAGCACCATCTTCTCAATTAAGGGATCTTAAAGGATGTTTTTCGTAGGATACTCGCTAAGGGACCTTGAGAATCCATTGATTTCCGAGTTGGATAAAAGAACAGCCCCTCAATGAGGGTTAAGACCAGAAGGTGAAGACTTCCCTACGGTCACATTGTTTGTTTGTTTTTTTTTAAATGGACGGATTGAACTTAAATCAGCCTTACTGAAATTTCACGTTGCCTGATTGGACTGCTTTTTGCAAGTAGGAAGTGCAATAATTTCTGGCTCAGTTTAGAAACAACGTATGCACAAAAGTGTTTTGACAGATGAACCAGAAAATGTAGTTCCTAATCGCAAGATGCGGCCAAATTTTCTCTCATGTTTTAATTTTTTACCAGTGAATTAAACCATTCAAGACCTCAAAATATCCGTGGATTTATTCTCGATAATGAAGAATATTCCTCTAAAAATTTCCACGTCTTTGTCTTGTTCAGTTTTTTGCTCAAGAAATAAAACATCAGAGAAAATTTGACAACCTCTAATGTAGTTTGGCTGATTCCGGTTAAAACGCCCAATAGACGGTGAAAATTCGAAACGCTTTAACCGAATATGTTTCCTAGCAATGAAAAATTGTAATTATTTATGTCGAAACTTTCTTATTTAAAAAGAAAAATGACCAAGTAATCGTGCAATAGGGATCACAGCAGCTCAAACAAAAATAGATCAAGGCAAGTGCCCATAAAACCATCTCAGCCGACGAATACAACGCAACGATGATCCATGATACAACTATTCGTACTCAAGGGATGTCCTCATTGCATATGCTGAAAAATGAAGGCGCGACGGTTGTCTTCTCTGAGCCACAATTTGTCCGGCGCGCCCGCCACAAGCCGCATCTTATACAATCATAGCCGGTGCCTCATTTATTCAATATGCATCATGAACATTAACTGGGTTTAAATTGCATGCCTCTTATTAAATTCACTCTCTTTAGTCTGTCAATCAAGGCGCTGACAAAAAGCGCCTCATGTAAGATACAGAACACTTTCAAATCTCGTCACTTTGGTGTGTCTTATGGTTGTGTGTACTTTCTCCTCTATTTGGCCGGGGGAAGAATATCGGGAATTATTTTTTCTCTAACGATTGTACATTCTGAAAAGGAAGGGGGTGGGGTCAAGTTCCTTAGGGAGGCTGGAGCCCCTTCAAACCATTCTTAAGTGACGCCTTTGAGGGTAGAAGTTGTTGATCTCAGCAGAAATTTGAACCATTGAGTTATACTCGCGTTGATCTTCAATCGAGCGAAAATCTTCCATGAAGGCATCAAGGTATTATTCAACCTTATGCTCCATTCCAGTGGCGTGGCGTGCTTTGCGATATACCGATTGATCTGCCACTTAAACCTATGAACAAGGATCGGTAAATAGGAGGGTATAAGCTACGAACACCTTAAAAATCGATTCTTTACCATAGCTTCAAATGGGGAAATATTAGTAGTCGATCATTCACGCTACGCCGCTTCTTCATTCCCTCTTATTTTTTGCGTTTGTGTGCTCATCCATCGTGGAGGTATTTTACACTGGTAAAAAAAACCTCTTGGTTCAAGAGTGCAGTTTCTTGTCGCCGGATTGTTGCTTGAAACAAGAGTCCAGACTCTTGTTTCAAGCAACAATCTGGCAACAAGAAACTGAACCCTTAAGTCAATGCACCGCGGCATTGGTCCAAGAGGTTTTTTTTACCAGTGACGTCAAAAACATATGTATTAGCTTCAAACTCTTTTTTTAAGCTCCAGAGCTGGTCTTGGATTCGTCCAGTAGCAAAGTATATCTAGATCATAGCAAAAATTCTACATGCAGTGGAAAGCTCGGTTGGATTAAATCAGATATTTCGAATTCAAAGAGCGCGCAAGGTTTCAACTTATGCAGTGACGGTCTGCTCAGTGGAAATGCCTCCCTTGTCGGAAAACGACACGGAGACGGTAAAAACTCGTAACATTATTATGCGTGAACGATGTTAATCGAAGAATCGGCGAGTTTGCCGGGCTCGGAAATGGCAAATGATCCGTGAGCTGAGCTCCCTGGTGATGGCGATTAGACGCCAGGCGACGGCTCCTTTTCTCCGAGATGTTTATTTAGACGTCAAGTTCATTTGCGGAGTACTTATCGAAAGCAAGCCGGAGATCCAACTTGAGTCGGTCGGCAACTCATAATTCATCCGGGTAAACGGATTAAGCGCCGCAGAGAGAAAAGGATTTTCCCCGTCCGCTTCCATCTGGATCGTCGGCATTTGCGCCATGTCCTCAGAGATGTTAATCGGCGACTAAACCGATGTATAAACGATGTAAATGCACCCGGCTCCCTCGCCCCGTCTCGTAGCCGACGCGTTGCGCTCCGAGTCGCGTGAATCGCCATGTCGCGTCGCCCTGGGCCCTGGCCTGACGTCTGTTGTCGAGAAATGCTCGATTGACTGTCCATCGGGAGGATATGGTTTCGATCGCTGTGAATCGATCGATACCGATTCAATAATTGACGAATTATTAAAAAACCCGGTGTCAATTCGATCGACACGAACCGATCTAAAAATAAAGTTGTGAACCGATCGTCGTGATTCGATCAACACAGATCCGATTGACAAAGCTATGAATCGACCTATAAATCCGTGAATCGATCGACAAATCTGCGAATCGATCGGCAAACCTATGAGTCGCCCTATACATCTGTGAATAGATGGATAAATCCGCGGATCAGTGACGTGGCGTGAATGATCGATTATCGATATTTCCCCATTTGAAGCTGTGGTAAAGAATCGATTATTAGGGTGTTCGTTGTGAACGCCCTATGTATATCAATCCTTTTCCATTGGTTTAAATGGCAGATCAATCGATACATCGCAAAGTCCGCCACGCCACTGCCTCGGATTTATTGACACATCCGTGAATCGATCCACAAAATCGAATACATTGACCGGCTAAAGTTTTTAATTTCCGATCGATTCTCGGGTCTGTCGATCGAATTCATACCATCCTTGTTCGTCGCACCTTGCAAGCAGTACCACGAGGATCAGGACAAAATTCGTGAATCCTATACCTAGTGAGGTTTACACCATTCCTCCTCACAGAATCAAAATTATTGTGTACATCTTTACCCGAAATGAAAGCAGAATACAGTGAGCTCAATAATGTGCACCAACGTCAACGTATTTTACTCGTATTAACCTTATTAATGACTGAATGAGTAGGTGTTCAAAGATTTGGTTTACTTCAAGATCAGTCAGTTCAGACTCTCCGCTCTCCACAAAAAGAACTTCGGGAATAAAATCAATATCAATTAAACGTAATTATGCCGAAAGAAAAGATAAAAAAAACTGAATCTAATCAATCGGAGCTGTGTGCAGAGGGTTTGCTCGACTGTGTGCGATTGCACATAGCTCCTTCCCCCATAAATACGTCCAATTATAAATTCAGCGAACGTAAAACATTTTGCTTATCACGTTTTGTGTCGAAGTAATTGTACCAAAATACAATTTCTCTGAAATATTGCAGCTTGCAGTATTAACTAAAATCAAAGTAAGTGAAATGGGATATTGAAAACGAGCCGTGGTGAATCCAAGGAGACCAATTGAATCGCCTGTCAAAGGTGGAAAAAAGTCCCCAGCCTTCCCCTTTCTTCACTTGACCCTCCAACCTGCCCCATTTTCCACCCTATTTCACGATTAGTCTTCCCCCTAAAGACTTATCCTCAAGAAACTTTTTCAAAGAAAGACTTCCACCGCTGAAACGCCGTTTGAACGACGGCGTATAAAAACCGACAGTTGCCCCTACTTTTTACCGATTCACAGGGATTCCTCCATATCACAGGTAAGCGGACTGATTTCTGAAAGTGATAGACAAAGCTATAGATAAAGAAGACATGAAGGATATAGAGGGATCCTATTAGTGGAAGCGGGTGGTTGCAATAGACAAAAGTGGTAGGTAATAGACTAACTAACGGCAACCTACGGAAGATCCTTTAGTTAGTCCATCATTACCTCCTTAATCTATGAGAACCACCCATATTAACCAATAGGATCGCTCCATACTCATTATGTCTTCTTTGTCTATCGCCTTATCTATCAATTTCAAGAATCACCCCGCTGGATAGGTGGCGTGGTCGGAAAATTTTTGGAGCCCTGTACTTCCTGCACGGCATATAACGAAAGTTCCAGCTCTGAAATTCCGTGTATTTGTGGTTATTTTAATATGCCTAATTTAATGTTAATTTATTGGAGTTTGGATTGTAGCCGAGTGCTAAAAATAATGTAAAATTTCTTTAAATTATTAAGAGTGATTTGATCTAATAGCTTGTTATCAATTGTTACCATCAATGAAATATGTTACCTTGTTTGAAATTTAAATTATGGCCTTTGTGATATTGATTTTGTGACCCTGACGATGAAGCATTCGCTTCGAAAAGCTTCGGTATTTTGTTAGTAAAATGTAAGTTTTTTAAAGAAATTTTACTTTATTTCTAGCACTCGGCTACAATCCAAACTCCAATATATTCAGTGCTACTACCTTCAGACATTGCATTACAATGTTCGCTGATTCTAATGTTTATTTGTTATGGCTAACCTAATGTTTATTTCATATAGATGTCTAATCGCCACAATTTGATTTCTTTTGTTGCAGTGCGATCGGCCATCCTCGTCAGGAACCCCGCCGACACTAGCGGAGCATCCTCATCCTCACCCCCATGCCCACGCCCACGGCCACCCTCACCTGCACCCACACCCGCACGCCCACCCGCACCCACATGCCCATCCTCACCCGCACCCTCATCCACACCCACACCCTCATCCGCACGTGCACGCTCACCCGCACCAGCACGAGCATCCGCCTCAGCAGCCTCAGCAGCAGCCCAAGACGTACACGCCGCTGAACGCGCTGTCGAGCATGCAGCCGCCCGGGAACCCGGGTTCCACTACCGAGTCGCCGCCCGCGCCCCCGGCCCCGCCGGGCCCCGGCCACGCTTCCATGCCGGCCAACATCCCGCGCTGCAACTCGGCCTTCTCCGCGCCACCCAACTTCCCCCCGACGCCCGTCCTCAACAAGGACTCATCCTACATTCACGGTAAGCACACACTTTCTTTCTTTTCGCCTCCATTTTTTTTTTTTTTTTTTTTTTTTTTTTTGAACATGTTTGTGTAAATAGCAACACCAAATTTTATTTTGTAGAAATAGTAAACACTGGGAAAAAAAACACATTGGATCTAGAATCCAGACTCTTGAAAACATTGACAAGAAAAATACTATTGATTCTATCTGATTTTTGCTTAAATCAAAAGGAAATCCGCTCAAATTAATAGGCTTGGTTCTTGATTTAAGCAAGAATCCGATTGAATCAAGAGTATTTTTTCTTGTCGATGTTTTTAAGAGTCTGGACTCTAGATCCAATGTGTTTTTTTTCCAGTGAAGCCAAGGCGTTGCGTCAGGTATATATTTTATTATTTACTTACTTATATAGCGGAAGCTTTTCCGGACATCGTGTCCCATCTTCAGCACTTATATTGTTATTAACATGGATTACTCTAATCTAGTTGACAATAATAATGCGTAAATACAGTAAGATACAGTTGCATTTCCATATGCTCAGAATAATCTTTAAATTAAAATAAAGAATTGTTACAAATGATCAATTACAAATGGATGGATTACATTGGATGAAAAAAGCTTTCTTTGTTTAAGTGAGTAAATAATAAAATATATACCTAACGCAATGCTTGGGCTTTACTATATTCCTAAAAAATCCATTTTCTTTCTTGGATACTAGAATGTTTAAAAAAAAGTTTATGTGGTGAAAACTCATTCGCTATGGTCATGCATGTTCGGAGAATGGCAGGAGACAGGGTGTCAAAGAAGGTTCAATTGGGTCCCTCCCAGCAGAGGGCGCCGTCTCATAGGGCAAAGTGATGGGATCGAAGCAGAAATGTCAAGGTGCTCGATTTCCAAGGGGTTGTGGTTTGCTAAGGGACAATGGCGGTCTGGTGTCGTAGAGCGCTAGGGAGAGCTATAAAGCGACATGGATGTATAAAAAAAGGCGTTTTTCCAGTTCTGGAAACCTTCCCTATTTTTAAAAGCTCAGCTTTTCGAGAGTGCTGAAAGAAACCTCGGCAATTTTCGGCTTCAGCGGCAGATATTAGATAGAAAAAGTCCCAATAGACACCGGGGAAAACGTTATTTTTCATCCTCGCCGTCGCAAAGGAATCTTGGCAACCTTCTCGGATAAACTTCACCACTCGGTATTATATGGGTAGAAGAAGGCAATTGGCCAGAAAAAACGTAGTTATTGTGAACTGAGGGAAACATTTGTCAGGCTTGCGATACATGCTTTTTTAATCATATAAGGGTCTCTGTAACCGAGAATGACCTTGATTTTTTGTTATCATACACAGAGTCTTCGGAAAATAAACGTTTACCCGAAAAAGCTCAAGTTTTGTCAAAAATTCCGATTTTCATGGCAAAGCCGATCTGATCCATCTAAAAATCTTTGGTCATTTCCGGATGTAGTACCAAAAATCCACATAGCTTTATTTTTGAAACTTGTTTACAAACCGACCCGTGTTGAACGCTGCTTTCTCTCTCGTAAGTCGATTTGGGTCATTTTCAGCCTTTCCAACTTATGCGTAATGTATTGACGAGGAAACACGCGTTGTGCCACTTTAACTCGAGACTCGAGCGCTGTCTTGTGGTCCATTGCGTCGATAAAATAATGAAGTCAATTTTGAAATGGGTTTGATCTCTTACAATCAAGATCTGATTTTTTTTAGAGATAATTTACTTAAGCCTAACAGTGAGAGCTTGGAAGGAGTTACTTAGTTTGAGGAAACGCAACTCGATAGTGAGGAGCCCTTGTTTCAAGTTCAAATGGATAGCATTTAGCAAGAAGGAACCAGCGCGATTACAGTGTTGTAAAAATGTTGCTTCTTCATCGTTATCTAAAAAATCTCTTAGACTAGCAAATAGTTTTTGCTTCCCACCGAAAAACGGTTAATTTTTACGGAAAATTATTGCATGTAAATTTTAATACTGTACGTATATTGAGTATTTTTAAAAGAAGTTGCATAATACTGAAAACACTGTAATCGCGTCAGTTCCTTTTTGCTAAATGCAATCCAAATAATATTAATAACAAGAGGTTTCTATTATGCTATATGCGTGAAAAACAAGGACCAAATACATGAATTTCGCCCCCAAAACGTCCCTTGAATAATGAGCCGGTTCCAAACTATCAAATTAACCATCAAATTTATCGGTGTAAAGCAGGGCTACATAATATGAGTTACTGTGGTTAGTCGACCACAGAGCAACCTGTTCGTCGGCCTATCAATGTTCATTGATGTTCGCGCACCGATCAAAGCTCCTCATTCCGTCAGACACTAGTGCCACGAGTGGGCCACTGAAACTTGACGGGGAATGAAGTGTGTGATTGGTGGAAGGCGACTACCGGGGGAGGGATGGTGTCTATTCAAAAGTCGAACGAGCCGAATCAATGCAACATTATCGTCCGATGTTGTCAAATTGAAACCGGCCGAAGAGAGAGAGAGACTACTATTAATTGGATTACATGCAGACTACATTTTGCAATGAGGACCTAATATTTCTGTCTCAATTTAGAATTAACTTGTGTGCCATTAGATTTCCCATGCTAATAGAGTAGAAGCATGTGTTATGTCAGAAATGTTAGTTCCAAATTGCAAAATGTAACCCCTTTTGCGTGCCGTTCTCTATTATTTCCTACATTTCCGAAACTTACAAATTAGTCATTTCGTAGCTAAGACCAGTCAGGATTTTGCAAGTTGGCAACTTTGCCCCCCCCCCTTTTACATCCATCAAAAATATCGATTTTAGGTGAGGCAAGCTGCCCAACCAAGAATCGATTGTTTTACATACATTCAAATGGAGGAAAAACAATTTTGCCAACTTTTAAGAATCACCACCGGCCGAGGCCGTAAAATTAAGGCCGAGGAAGTTAATTCCTTTAGCAGTTTGTCTCTTGCAAGCCATTCATCTGCCCAGTTAGTTTCCTTATGCAGATTGATGATGTCATATAGGAGTCGTGAATGGTGGTTCCTGATCGCAAAATGGGATCACATCTAGCGTTTTATGGAACAAAATATTTTTGTGTTCGATCCCTGCTCCTGAATGTATTTAATCGAACTCGTTGAAACTTAGCCGTGCTTTTGAAGTAACGACGCGATGCGACGCGACGTTCGTCCGTCCAGTCCCAGAGTTGTTGCAGTAGGAGCTCCCCACGTCGGATTACGTAACGTCGTTGCACGTCATTTATATAACCGATTTTCCTCTCTTCTAAGTAAACAGTTCTGCGTTGGCTCCACGAAATTGCATTTCAAAGTAAAATTGAGGGGCTTGGAAGACAAGGTGCGTCAGTGCAGTTTTTACAATTTTGGGGTATACGTGTTCGAAGTTTCGAGATTAAATGAATCCTTATGGCGGAAAGAACGTTCAAACTGACCTTATTATTTATGATGCACAAAAATTGAAATTTGGGAACGAATTTAGGACTTGCGGTAACGAGAGCAATAATTTAACGAGGGTGGGTGATGTCTTATGTGTTTGCCTTCAAAGAATGAGTTCTTCCGGCCTCAGCGGACTGATTATTGAAAGTGATGGACAAAACTATCGACAAAGAAGTCATAGAGAGTGTGGAGCGATCCTATTGGTTGCAACTGGTGGTTCTGACAGACTGAGGAAAAAAATGATGGACTGACTGTCGGGTCTCTTGTCGGTTGCCGTTAGTCAACTCTACCTTAGATCCTTTGTCCATTGCAGTCACCCGCTTACACCAATAAAATCCCACCATATCCCTTTTATCTTCTTTGTCTTTAGTTTTGTCGATCAATTTCAATAATCTGCCCGCTGGAAATGTTTAGCTCATCATAACAGTCAGGCGCTAACAATCATGATTTTAATGTGCGACAAAATGTCGATCGTTCAAATAAAAAAAAAAAATGGCTCTTCTCGATTATTCAATGAGATTCCATGCTAAATCAAGCATTGATCATTTGAATGAAAAGTTAAAGAAATGTTTATGTTATAATGCCCTAAAAAGCAAGGGAATTATTTTGAAGTACAGGAACATTCGTCACCTTGTTTCAGTCAGAGAGATGTATTAGTGTAGATATATTAGAGTACGAATAGTTGTATCTTTGCGCCGTTAGCCGCGCATCCTTTCGCTTCCTCTATTTTCCGATGTTGTGTTGGTTCCGTTTGTCTTATCCGTTGTGATGCTTTAAGGGATACGTGAGCATCACAGTCTAAGACAGAAACGACTTAATCGTGCCTCCTTTTTTGACTCTTCTCCCAAATCCGAGCGACACCTATTTGCCAGCGTAGAGCACTGCAAGTTCACGTCTCGCGTCATCGCGCCTTCAATTTTGCAGACGCAACACGGCCATCCATCGAGTACGAATAGGTACGAATAGTTGTATCTCTGCGCCGTCAGCCGCGCATCCTTTCCCGTGCTCTATTTTTCGTAGTTGTGTTGGTTCCATTTATCGAATTTGTCATGATGCTTCAAGGACTGTGTGAGCAACACAGTCAAAGACAGGGGAGACGTAATCGGGCCTCCTTTTTTGACTCTCCCGGAACTGAGCGACACCTATTCCGCAGCGTAGAGCGGAGCACTGCAAGTTCACGTCTCGCGCCATCGCGCCTTCAATTTTGCAGACGCAACACGGCCATCCATCGAGTACGAATAGTTGTATCCCTGCGCCGTCAACAACGCGCATCGATGAAAACACTACCAAAGTAACAATTTTCATCTGATGGCGAGTCCACCCCCCCCCCTCCCTCTATTTTTGCCCGCTAATTCAATAAAGATGGATGACCACACAAACTTTTAGAGATCAAACATAATCAGATGCATTTTTTCTTACAAAAAATTCTTACGCATTAGACGATGGACGCACCGTTTATAAAATTCAACTAACTAATGAGAATTTGGTGCCGTCTACGGCGCATATGATATACTCTGGCTGGAAGGTAACGATTTGATGTAAATCCAACCAGAGCGTACTTAACACTTTGAAGCAAACATTTGGATGAAAAATA